GGATGTATCATACATCGTTGTGGTCTCACAAGAAAGGTGTTTGTTGAGCATTTGCTCCTACAGACATTATATTCATTATAATTGTAAAAAATCATCCAACATAGGATTTAGGACTCACCTGAACTGACAAATTTCCTAATGTTACCAGTGTAACTATGCTTGGGATTAAGCTTTGGAGGTATGGAAACAGAAACAACAGCTGATTTCAAAGGATCCAACTTATTACTGACATATTATTAACTTATTTTTAATATATGTTCAACATTTAAATAATGTAAACCTAGCTCACCAGCAGAAATACACAGTACCATTATACCTTGATTTACCTTATATTATCCAAGTTTCAATATGACAGGCTAACTCTTCCAGAGAGTTAGTATCAAAACAAAGCACGACTTCGTTCCAACAAATTCAAAGTTTCCCTTGCCTGCTTTCAGCTTTCCTTCTAAAATATATCAGTATAAACTGTGTTTCTCAACCTCAGCAATGTCAAATCCATGAACTAACTCCCAGAATTGCTCGTCCAGCACAGAAAATTAAAAATTGAAATGCATAAAGTTCCCATTTGCCTATGCTGTCAATAAATAAATGGAGTGTAGCTACCACTATCTGACTTCACAAACTCCAAATATAGTTAATATATACTTACCAGAAACTGATACTTTCATGATGGCCTCAAGGGGTCTGTTGTTGTCCAGATCTCGGCTGAGCTTCAGTTCTCCAGTAGCAGAATCCAAAACCAGCAGGTTTAATTCATTGCCTTGGACAAAGGTATAGTAAAGCTGGTCAGATACATCAGGATCCTGGGCGGGGATCTTGCCAATCACTCCAGAAGGAAAGCTATTAGATTTGTTGGTGACATAATTGTTGAACAGGATCTGAAAGTCATGCAACACAGGAGGGTTGTCGTTTTGATCCAACAGGCGTATGTGCACGGTAGCTCGGCTCACAAGTGGGGCTGAGATAGCTTGTACCACAATAACATACTCTGTCTGGCTCTCGTAATCCAGGTCCATCAGGGCTGTAAGGTCACCATTAAGCAAGTCAAGCTGGAAGACCTCAGGAATGTTTCCCTCTACAATCTGATACATGATCTGCGCGTTGGTTCCTTCATCGGGGTCTACTGCACTAATCCTGGCCACGATTGAACCAACAGGACTGTTCTCCTGAATAAAGATGTCAAATTCGTCCTGTTCAAAAACAGGGGGGTTATCATTGATATCCAGTACAGTAACTTGGATATCAACAGTTGCATTGAGAGGTGGGCTGCCCTTATCCACAGCAAGAGCCCGCAAGCTGTAAACAGCCACATTTTCACGATCCAACTTGCGCAATGTCCGTATCACCCCTGATGTGGGTTCAATGTAAAAATCCCCATCCCCATCATCCCCACCCAGGAAAGTATAAGCCAGGCGGCCATTGGGACCTGAGTCACGGTCTACAGCGGACACCTGCAAAACACTGGTGGACAGAGGAACATCTTCAAAAACAGAGCCCAGATACCGATCTCGAAGAAAACGAGGTGCATTGTCATTGGCATCTAGAATGAGGATCTCCACATAGGTAGTATCAGACTTCTGGGGGATCCCATTGTCTTGGGCTGTGATGGCTAATGTGTAAGAAGCTTGGTCTTCATAGTCCAATTCCATCAAGGTAGTGATTGTCCCTGTGTCAGGATCAATGCGGAACTGAGGGATGTTGTCTTCCAAGATGTAAGTAATTCTTGCATTCTCTCCAGTATCTTCATCCGTGGCACTGATGGTTACAATGGACGTTCCAATGGGCTTGTCCTCACTGACACTCACGGTATAGTGGGAACTTTGGAAAACCGGTCGGTGTGTATTGGCATCTGTGACATTGATGAAGACTTGCACCGTATCAAACAGAGTTCCATCTGAAGCAGTGACGGTCAACACATATTGCCTTTCCTGCTTATAATCTAGGGGCAAGGCCAGAGTGATCAGACCACCACCGCTCTGACTAGTGATGGAAAAGCGATTCCTTGTGTTGCCACTCGTGATCTGGAAGGTTACTACACTGTTGACATCTTTGTCCATTGCAGTCAAGGTCAAGACGCTGCTGCCTACTGCCGCATCCTCATTCAGCCTGAGCTGGTATACTTTTTCAGTGAAAGTAGGACTGTTATCGTTGACATCAAGGACAGTGATAGACACACTGGCAGAGGAAGACATGACAGGCACTCCGTGGTCTCTGGCCTCCACCCCAAAATGGTAATTCTCTGTAGTCTCTCGGTCGAGCTCAGTTGACACTGTAATCCAACCTGTACTATTGTTGATCTGGAATGGAAACCCTGCATTCCCCTGTATTGGGGATGCCAAGGCAGGAAGATGGGAGAGCTCGAAGATTTTGTATTCCAAGCGAGCGTTGTCCCCAGAGTCAGCATCTACTGCCTGAATGTGTAACACGGAATATCCTTTGGGGACATTTTCTAGCACTGTGGCTTGAAAGGGGGTGCTTACAAAAATAGGGGCATTGTCATTGACGTCTAACACTTGGATGGACACCATCCCACTCGAATTGATCTGTGGGGGCCTCCCTCCATCCTGTGCCTTGATCCTGAGAGTGTATTCTCGGATGGCCTCATAGTCCAGGGGGTTGATCAAGTCAATAGAGCCAGAGAAAGAATGGATATAAAATTGGCCTTTCAGGTTGCCACTGACGATGCTATAATGGACCTGGGCATTGTTGCCCCTGTCTCGGTCAGTGGCTTTTACTTGCAATACTTGACTGTTGATCGGAGTATCCTCTGGTATTTGTACCAAGTAGCGTTTCTCGCTGAATTGTGGGGAATTGTCGTTCTCATCTTCCACTGTGATGTGCACCGTGACTGTGGCGCTTCGTGGACCTGGTTCTTTCCCTTGGTCATTGGCTTCGACCACAAGATGGTATTCTGAGACTTCCTCTCTATCCACCGTGGCACAGGTTCTCACAACACCAGAATATGGGTCAATCTCAAAAATCCCTTCCCCAGAGCCTGGTTCTAGGATACGATAGAGCAAATTAGCATTGTCTGGAGCATCCTCATCTGTGGCACGAATAGTTAGCACCTCGTAACCTACCTCCAGGTTCTCTCTGATGGTCTCCCGATACTCCGGCTGTTCAAACACGGGATCGTGGTCATTGGTGTCACTGACAGTCACCGTCAGGAAGGTGACGGCTGAGCGTTGCCGCGGAGACCCGTGATCCGTCGCAGTCACCTGAAGCACGTGGGTGTCTTTCGTCTCTCGATCCAGCTTACGGCTGGTGACGATTGCTCCCGTGTTGGAATCCACGGAGAAGTAATCGTTGGACCTCTTGTCGAAAAAGGCCTCCATAGAATAGGTCAACCGGCCTGCTTCCCCTTCATCTGGATCATGGGCTTCTAGAGTGATGACCGAGGTACCTGCGGGCTGGTTCTCAGCAATCGAAACTTGGTAATTGGGCAGTTTGAACTGAGGCGGGCTGTTCACGCTCCTCATCCTCCGAGGTCCTCGAGGGCCAGAATCCCAACTGCCATCATCCTGGGCCATCACTTCCAATTGATCCCCTACTGGCTGTTCCACTCCCCAGTGCCTAGGCCTTCCCAGATCCACCAAAACACTCCCTTGAGTCCTCTTCAGGTGACAAAGAAGCTGCAGGGGGCAGCTGCCTTGGGGAAGACGGCAGTCTAGTGGTTTCTCCCCAACGTCCCCCAAAGGCCGACCTTTGGGGCAGATACACCATGGGAAACTGGTCAGGGTCATGAGAGCCCAGAGCAGGGGTCCTGCTTTCGCTTCCTCCCCCACTTTGGGAAGCACCTGCTGCCCAGCGGGCGGAGGGAAGCACAGCAGAGAAGCCCAATGCTGGGGAAGAGCTGGAGAAGCGGCCAGGCGAGGCAGGATGGCAACGCGCGGGGACCGGCCGGGGGAGGCCCAGCCGTGCAGGTAAACAGGCAGGCGGAGCGAGAGAAGGACGCCGGCGGCCGGAGAAGCCAGGCGCAAATGGAGGGGCAGCGGGTTTCTCCTCAGGCCCGCGCACTCCACCGGCGCCGCCGTCGTCTTCAGCAGCCCGTCGCTCGTCGCTTCCACGGCGTCCCTCAGCTGACGGGGCGTCCGAGTCTCGTCCAGAAAGCAGAGCCACTCCGGTCCCAGCGACAGGTCCAAAAGCAAGCGGCCCGCGTTGTCGTCGCCGCAGAGGAGATGCAGCTCCCAGCCCGCCGTCGCGAGCGCCAGCAGCCAAATCCACGACAGGCAGGCGGCCCCCGGCAAACGGAGCATCTCCGAGGCTTGGCAAGCAGGGAGGACGGCCGAAGGGCTACACAATCCATCCACCCCCCTGAGCTGCTCATCCGGCCTCGTCCATCAGCAGCTGGGGAGAGCCTGGAGAAAAGGGCGAGGCTCCCCCTCCTCTCCGGCGCGGGGACGCCGAACTTTTTCGCCCACTTTCCCGAAGTTGGCGGCGGATGCTGCGGCGGGGTTCGTCGAAACGGCGCTCAAAATGGCTCCTCGCCACCCAATCGGGCCCCCGCCGGCCGTTTAGCCGAGGCTCACCCTGGACGGCAAGTTCCCAAAGCGGATCCCGGCCTCGCCATGGGAGCCGCGAGCGCCGCGGCTTCTTCGCGCGTGGCTGCGATCTCCCCTTTCGCGGCTCGGCTGCTCAGTTAGAGGTCCCCGACGGCAAGGGAAAGAGAGATCCGGCGTGGCGCAGATCCAGTGGCTCCCTCCGGGAAGCGCCTCTTATCCTTTTCCCCCCGGCCAGAAGGCAGGCGCACGCGTCTCTTCTTCTCCCGGCTGAAAGTTACGGGCTCGCCTTCCCAAAGGAGCGCAACTTTCCCGCGAGGGTTTTTCCCCGGCCGGCGCTTCTCGCTTCTCAATCGGCTGAGAAAGTTGGGCTTTTAACGACGATCCGGGAGCGCACGGAGCGCCTCGCCTTAGGAAAGTTTGCCCGGCGATAGCTGCGTTTCTCTGCGGCTCGTTTTTTCTTCGCCTCTCCCTCCGGCTCCTCCTCCCCTTCTGCTCTCTGGCGTATTGTCACCAAACCTGAAAGGATCTGGTTGCTCAAAAGTCTCTATGGAGACCGCAGATGGGTCCCCAGAAAAGACCGAGACGCGGAGCAGCCAAAAAATTGCCTTCCTGGGCAACCTAACCTGCACGGCAAACCAGGGCGGCGGCGGTGGAGGGCGGGGGCCGAGAGGTGTGTCTGGCGAGGTGGAATGGGACGGGGAGTGTCTGCAGGGGAGCAACCGCTCGGGAGCTCCCTGTTGCCGAAAGAGGCGGGTTCCCGAGAGCGCTTTAACTTTGCTGGGGAGGCTGGTCGCAGAGCGCTCTCTGTTGGCCCGGGATCTGCAGGAGTCACGGCCTTGGTGACTGAGAAAATGGTGCAAGCATTTTCATGCACCTTTCTGAGGTGCCAGGAGAACCTGTTTGAGGAGAGCCCTCTGGTGCAAGTTCTGGAGAATCAGGAGAGGAGAAGAGAGTATTGTGAGGAGATCCGAAGAGGCCTGTTGTGTTTGGGAAGGGTGTGTGTGTGTGACATGCCAGCGTTATCAAGATAGGCATTTTCTGAATTTTTGACATAATGAGTGCAAAATGTTTGCCATCACTGCGCTGTGGTCATTAAAGCAGTATCTGTGGTACTGGAAAGTAAATCTTTACTTTCCCACAGTGTTTGTGGTACCAAAAAAGAAAGTCTACCAGTATCTAGTATTCCCAGGTCATCCTCATTGAATGCTCACTTGTTCAGCAACCATTTGAAGCTACGGACATAGCTGCAATCATCATGGTATCTGTGCAGTCATATGATTGTGATTTGAGTGCTTGGCAACCAACTTGCAATTGCAACAGTCAAAGTGTCCCATGGCATGTGATTCATGGCATGTGATTCATGGCATGTGATTGTGGCCTTCACTGTTGGCTTCCAACAAGCAAAGTCAATGAGGAAGCTGGCAAGAAGGTTGCAAATGGTGATCACATGACCATTGCATGGGATTTGCCTAATGACAGCAACTGGGACTACTACAACTGCTGTGTAAGTTGGTGCAATTATGTGACTTTACAATTGCTCTTTACAATTGCGTTTTTTAGCAATAGTTGTCAGTCCCATGTAGGAGAAGAGCAGTCAGACTTGGAGCGGTGTGGAGTTAAAAGTGTCATCAGTTTAGATTCCTTATGTTGCCATAAATGATCTAAGTTCAGCCTCTCCTTGAATTCCTTTGACCCTTATCTAGTGCCAATTTAGTGTTGACCATTAGTTGACTGGATTGTTGTCTGTAGGCTTGAATAAATCTTCCATGCTGCAACTTAATGTATGGTCCTGATCCTTTGTGCCTGACATCCTAATTGCCAGGACTTACCCATAACCACAAGTCTCTGCCACTCATCGATACTTGTAGTATAAAATCAAACTTTTCTAAGCTAAATGTATGGAAATGGTAAGCTTCTGTCATTTAGAACTTCATTTCTGATACAAAAACCATAAATAAATTAGTACTTTCTGGTTTGCAAGACTGTCAGTGTAGCATTCATGAACTGNAAAGAAAGAAAGAAAGAAAGAAAGAAAGAAAGAAAGAAAGAAAGAAAGAAAGAAAGAAAGAAAGAAAGAGAGGCTTAAAAACAATCCACGGGTGGCATCAGACCGAAGACGTATCTGCTACTGTTTTATCAATGTGTAGTACAAACTCTGTCTCCGGGGCTATCAGTGGCATGCAAGATAAGATCACCAGTGTCTTTTTCAACTGGCTGCTCATCATAGCCCAGAGATTGCACTCTCAAATCATAAAAGATCATCTGAGGGTTCAGTGCAGTTGATTTGAAGGTCTCTAAGGAGAGGAGTAAACAAATAGCAATTAGAAGCAACCTTAACATCATCACCATACCTTCTAATGCTGATCGGCATGGCATGCGAGGGAAATAACAGAAGGGGGTGGGGAATAGTGATTTAAGGATTCCAAGTTGAAAGCCTAGCAGCAATGGCTGTTACAGACACCTGGATGGGCATAAAGCTGAAGTCTGGATTTTAATCCCAGGTCATATCTAAGTACAACCAGGTAGTAAAACAATAGCCTTAGGCAAGCTCCCCTTATTTGCTTTCACTTTGCATTTAATGTATAAAAGCTTTGCATTTCTTTTTCATGAGATTGAATGCAAAAACTAACCGTTGAAATGTTAACTGCATGAAACCACTGGATTGTTAGGTATAAATGCATTCCTTTCCCTAGATCTCTTTAAATGGTATCGCTAACATCCCGGCTACAACATTATCATTGTCTGTTATATGTTTACTGCTCATTAGAACCACATCTTTATGGGTGGGCTCCATAATTAAATTTTGTTAACCGTAAAACAGAAGAACACAAGGCTTGGTGAACTTCACAGCCACAGTAGCAAAAGCAAGCGTGGCAATTTGGTGAGCTGCAGGTCAACAGCGCACTCCTGAAAGAAACAAACATTTTAGGAGTGACAATTAAAGAATAGGATGCAGATGAAAAAGGTTGCCTGCGCTCGGTTCTCAGATTTGCACAAATATACCGTACCATCACCTTGACGCTTAAATTGCACAATGATTGTTGTGTTGCCCTTTTCCAGAAAGGTTAAAGGAGATCTGTAGGAGCGCTTAACACATGTAAATGCATACCTCTTTAAACTAAACTAGCATGTTAAATGGCCCATAAATTTCACAAGTATTCTCTTCTATGGGGGAAAAATCTTTTCAACCAATCATTCACCATTCCCTCCTGCTTCTTTTTCTCAGTTTCACCCTCCCACTCATTCATTTTCTCACTTAGCATCATTAAATGCACCAATAATTCAATTACAATGTGAAAATCTTTGCTTACTGAATAATCACATATTTATATTTGTGTGTCTGTATATTTGTATGTATATACATGTATATGTGCGTGTATAAGTATACTGTATATACTGTGTGCATATTTGTATTTATTAGTTTGCCAAACATGTACAAGATAGGAGGTACAAATATAAACATGGATTTGAATGAAAAAAAAAATGAATACAAATAGATGGGGATAGTAGGACAGGGACGTTAGGCACGCTGGTGCACTTATGCACACCCCCTTTAAGGACCCCTTAGGAATGGGGTAAGGTCCACAGTAGACAGTTTAAGGTTGAAGCTGTAAGGGTTAGAGAATGTAACAACAGAGTCAGGTAGAACTTTCCCGGCGTTGACTTCTGTTGCTGAAGTCGTATTTTCTGCAATCAAGTTTGGAGCGGTATACCTTGAGTTTGTATGGATTGTTTGCCCATGTATCATTGAAGTTGAAGCTGAAGAAGTCATTGACAGGTAAGACATTGTAGCAGACAATTTTGTGTATTGTGCTTAGATCATGCCGCAGGTGGTGCAGTTCAAGATTGTCCAAGTCCAAAATTTCAAGTCTGGTGGCATAGGGAATTCTATTGTCAGTAGAGGAGTGGAGGACTCTTCTCATGAAGTACCTCTGGACCCCCTCAATTGTTTTAATGTCCGATGTACAGTGTGGATTCCAGGCAGATGAGCTGTATTCAAGAATTGGTCTGGCAAAGGTTTTATATGCCCTAGTTAGCAATACAATGTTACCAGAGAAGAATACTGTGTGTGTGAGAGAGAGAGAGTACACACACACACACAAACAGAGTATGTATGTATCAGTGGTGGGTTGCAGGCAGTACACCTGGGTACAGGCGTACCGGTGCCTGCTGAGAGCACTGGGTACCATTCCAGTATGGTGCTCTGGAAGGCCCGAGCTCCTTACCTGTATTTGAGTGCTTTGGAGCTTCCTGCACATGCATGGAGCATACAGCGCCTGCGTGATGCTCCGCCGAGCAGCTGGGGTGTCATGAAGGCATTGCAGAGGTGTCGCAGAGGCATCAAGGAGGCATTGCAGTGGTGTTGTGTAGGTGTTGCAGAGGCATCGTAGAGGTAAGGACGCATGTGCGTGCTGCACGCATGTACATGCAAGCTGCACGCGTGCATGTGGAAGACACTGGGCCCCATTGCACTGTACCGGTTGCACTGGGATCCGGAACCTACCACTGGTATGTATATATGTATTTGTATTATCTATTTGTGCATAAAGTGTATAATTTAACTTTTAACTTACTGTGTGGTTTCAGTTGGTGACTACACTTGAAAAACTATGCCAGATTCATGCAGCAGATTAATACCACTGACAAACTGAGCTTGATAATTACACCACCAAATTATACTTTTGTTTGATATCCACATCTTTATCATAATCCTGAGGTCTCCCAGGATTACTGGTGTTTATGTGGCTACAAAGGGTCAACATTTGAATGTCCTGTGCTTCTAGCTATGTTTTTAAATCCTCCACTCAAAATTCATTTATATCTTTATTTTAATGTACATTTTAGATGTACATTTACATTATTGATAGAAGAGAATATTTGTATCAGTCAAAGAATCAAGACTATTATCACTTACACTCACAGAGCAAGTCACTAATATATACTGCAAAATGAGAGCAAACTGTAAGCTCTACTAGGACGTATCATGTTAGGTAATGAAACATCTGCAAGAAAACAATCAAGCTCAGAGAGTAGCAAGACCCTACACATCTACATTATTATTTTTCCCTGCTTTGAGTGGAGGTTTTTCCTACAGGAAAACTCTGAGAGGCAATTTCCCTAAAACACAGTGCATGGAGTAGCCTGAAGTCAGCCAAAGAGTGCTGATTAGTAGCTGGGAATTTAAGCACGAATCTCTTGACTCAAAACCAGCATCCAACTGCTATTATATACTTTGTCCTTATTTTCTTTCACTGGGGCTATTATAGGGGTGGGTTCCGGCAGACATTACTACCGGTTTGCTCATGTGTGTGCCATATGTGTGCGTTTCATGTGCATTGCACATGCATGCACAGTGC